TATGCCTCCATTTCCTAACTATGTACTGTCTCTTGTTTCCCTCTGTGGGTAGGTTATTAGATGGTTGACAAATAGCGCAAATGAACAAATTTGCCAGAGCTGGCAATTTCTAATGAAACTGCGTCATGATTTCGCGGAAGTTCTAAGTCTTGTGGCTTGGACTTCAAATAAAAGATGGTAAAAAACAATCGCTTCCACTAATTAACCCAATAAACATATACACCTAACAAGGGCCATGGCAGATGAGCTCCAGTAAACCATGCATTGTATGCAGAGACATCACTCCCTAAAACCGGTTGGGGGGGGGGGGGTCTCAGCCGAAAACGTTGACCTAACCTGCAGCCAAGCACGGTTTCTCACCAGTTTTGGGCCACTTGAACTCGCATCCACAATGGTAAGTTTTGGGGGGGAATTTGCTTAATGTTTTCATATTTCGTAGATTTAAGAATCGTTTTACTCGGATTAATCACATCCCATTTCATTTTGATGCGAGCTACCCTTTTGTAAAGAGCTTACAATGAGATGTAATTCTCAGAAGATCATTAAACTAAATCTTAGCAAGCGATCACTGACGACTACTGCTGTCACTGACCGTGTCGTATAACCACCACGGCCACGTTTGCTGGATCTACCACAGCTACGATTGTGCGAAAGATACACATATTTCTGCCCAGGGGAACATGTGGTTTGTTTTATCTTGGACATCATGTAGTTTTCAGAGCTTCCGCATATCGCCGTCAGTTGCTCTTTATCCCATTCGAAGGGCTATCATTCAAAAGCTCGTCAACCAGTAGCAGGCTGGCTCAACACATGAAGGAGTTGGCATGACAAAAACATCAGCTACGTACAGGATATTTAACATGTTTATAATAGTAATACACTTAGGTGACGACTAAATAGTGTACCAATAGTTTAGATAATTATTTCGTATGTGTTTGGATCACTATTCCCTCCTTGATCAGACGTATTGAGGGGGCTCAGTGAAGCATTGGGGGGAGGGGAAAGGGCAAGTCAGCATTTGAGGCGCACAGGTCCCTCGAAGTCACATTAAGTGACACCCCGGGCTGCGTTAAACTCTACTTGAACTTATTTACACTTTCCTCATGCAACACATCAGTATTGGAGCAATTTCTACTGGTTTGTGCAATGTTTCATCTACACGAAATTTTGGGACTTGTCCCAGAAAACTCCATTTTACTTTTTAGTTTGGTCGGGATTAGATAACTTTTGAACGGCAATGACTATTGAAGGGCTATGACACGGAGAAGAGATGTGACAGGGGAACAGGGCGGCTGCCATCTGAGAATACCCTATCACTTAGACCTCCCTCACAAGGAACCTTCTTTGGGCTATGCGCGTACACTCGGGCACTTAGGGGCACTTGCCAGTTTGGCACGCCTGTGGCTGAAGTGGGTAGGCACCTTGCCCCGGAGGGAGGGAGGAGTTGTGAGCATGCGGGATGAAGCAGTGAATGAGGAAAGGAAGGTGAATAGAAGGCGAAACTGACAGCCCTGATAATGGTTGACAGTTGTCATCGCTAGCGTTTCGCATTCCACTGCAACCGCGAAAAACTGCCAAAAAACCGAATCTGGCTGTCCACAAGCTCCGGACGGTTACATCGGCATTAGTCAGGCTTATTAAGAAGCCTGCCACAAAATATCCCACTGCTAAGCTGTTAAAGCATCTTCCACTCATTACTACCGATGAAGAAACTGAGACTTCTGTAAAAACTGCCAAAATTAAATGAGGCCTCAGTTGAATTTATAGGAATTTGTCAGGTGGCTGCGTAATATAACTAGATGAATTGAAAAGTGCGTATACATACATGACAAAAATAATCTGTATAACATGCTGTCAAATACTTGAAAAGGAATAGGGTCATTTCCGTATGTACCTTGGACTACACCATAACGTTCGAACGCACGCGCTTGAAATATTTTCTCTCCTTTCTGTAACCAGGGGCTAGTTTCAAAATGAGTGTGGGTGGGGGGAGGGGTGCTAAACAGTGAGTTATGACGAAACCTAATCCCTGAATACTCCAGAATAAAATGACATGCTTCATTCAACGGGTCTCACTTTCCTCTCAAAGTTGGGACCCGAGCTGGGAGGGGAGGGCCTGAAACTAAAGTTGGGGAGAGCTGAAGTTCTCCCACACGTTCACTCTCACAAGCTCTCACGCACCAGCACGCACTTAAATCGTAGGATTTTAGTGGTAAAGCGGCATGATTACACTCCGTAGCAGCCTGCAGTCATGTGGTTTCAAATTTGGGACCAAATGGCTGCGAGATGCTTACAAAACCTGACGTCTTCTAAATCAAAAGGTGGCTGATTTGAAGCACTGAAACCGTGTGATGACATTGTCGTTCAGGTCATCCTATCTGCTTAGGAATACGGATTTGAAAAAAATTGTTCTGTGGGATAGTGCTTTACCCACAGAAGAAACCATAAAGACGTGCTCTAAATCGGGTGCAAGATCCAACATCCTCCTAACGTAAAAATGTAACCATCGATCACTACATTTAGTATAGCTATGCCCTGTCTAAATTGGTCGTTGGGTAGCCAAAAACGAGCTGTGTACTTCCAGGCTGTTCTTGCTGATTTAATCGGGAGGGGGGGGGGGGGGCAGGCTGACCCCACCCGAAGGTTTTTTGAGTGATTTGCAAACGGCGCAGCGTAGCCGCGTAAACTTTGCAAAGTTGTAGATAATTGAAAAGCGAATCTTTTATATAAAAATCAAACTTGGGAAGGTCGCTGACCTGTGGCATGTTAAAGTCAGGTTATGGCTGTCGGGAAAAGGTACTTTTAGGGAATCGCTTAATGTGATGCAATAACGGAGTGCTAGACCAAGCCGTACATATGTTAGGTAATTTTTAAGGCATACACGAAAAGAATGAAGAGCTGGAACCAATTGCAATGACCTAGGGTCAGATATGAAGGTCAGACCAAGGTTAAAACTAGTCTGCTTTTTTACACGGGAGCTTGGTTTGTGGAGTAGTTTCTAGTGGCCATTTCGAACTTATTTATGGCAGGAATCGCAAAGGACATGCTCCATGGACTTAATCAAGGTCAGAGTAGGTCACTGACTTAAAATGACCCATGTCAACATGTTTTTGCAGGAACGCACCACCTAGCATATGACGCTTATTAGAAGGATAAAATAGCAGCAATCTTGTACGAGCTTGGTTACCGAGACCTCCTGGAGGTCAAATAAGGTCACTGACCTCAATTGAACACCAGTAAACTTTTGCTTAAGACACGTATCTAGGTTGACGAAGGTTGCATAAAGAGGTTTAGGGACAGGAGTTTGGACTTTCTGACCCTCTTTGACCCCAAAGTCATGATCTAGGAACTTCAAACCTTGACATAAGTGATGTCACGTACAGGTCTGCAGGTCACGTACAGGTCACGTCTGCTACTCCCACGGGCGTTTCTTTTGTGAGGCCACTATCTCTAAAATGATAACCCTCAGTAGCCGTCCTTAGTGGCAGGATGATAGACAGGCAATGCTATATAGTCTAAGCACCGAAACACGTCTCAAAGCCCCAATGACATGATAATACAATACGGGACAATACGGGAGGTAAAAGGAGGCCCGAATGCCGCCAGTTATTTCTACACGCATAGTGCTCGCCCCTGTTAACCAAGCAACTGAACTTATCTTTTAAGAAACGTGACTCTTCCGACAGAGTGGCTCTATTACCCCGCTGATTGATATTTCTGAATACATTCCAAACATCATGTCTATTCACTCAACGTCATATACGTACGTTATTCAAAAAACATGCATGAGTTTCAACTAAATTAAGTCAGTCACGTCGTCGGTTGCCTTATGCAATTAGGTAGAGTTAAAGGAAAAGTCGAACAACAGGACACAAAACATATGAAACAAGCGAAATCGGAAGTAACAAATCCGCGCAACATTCGTGGTCATTTTTATTGGGAACCTTTGCATGCTTGGTATGCAGTTTAAGTCCCTAGAGGGCCCGTTTTTTATGTTACCTTACTAAGGGCGTCGTTAACAGCCTAAGAGTACCAAAGCATTCGGCCAGCGTAAGACTCTTGTCATCTCCAGGGAATGAAGAGGGGAAGCGTTGCCCCAAAGGCTCTCCGTCGGCCACGCCTCTGCTGTTGGGCATGAAATCAATATACAATGACAGTCTAGTAACACACAGCTTGTTTTTTGTACGTCGATAACCATGTCAGACAGTATACCTAAAACTTAAAAAGGTAAAGTGAGCTATGGTGACCTTTTTACGTTAGGTAGATACTGGATCTTGTCGGCAATTAATCCGATTTAGAAAGTCCACTTGTCTTCTCCTTGTGCCAAAATATTGCTCTCCATAACTAGCTTTTTCATTTCAGTATTTTCATGCAGACACCATTTCAGGGCTTTAAATGGAGCATTGCTAGACTTCTTGGACACCAAGCTATACCTACGCTATTTTGTCACAGCTTTACACAAATTTGGAATGAAATGTTAACGGGCTGCGTTCCATCATAAGGGGCAGGCGAAACGAAACACTGCAGAGTGAAATCAGACTGCTCTGTATCGCTGTCGTGATTCAAATGTGCATGGGTGTGTGGGAGGGGGGACGCCAGCCCTCCCCCAACTTGGATTTCAGCCCCCACCCCCTTCCCTAACTTGGGCTCCAACTCCTCATTTTTGAGAGGGAAGTGGGCCCGCTAACGACTCTTCCGAATTGGACCCGCTCAGTTGTGAATCCCATTTATTGTTGCATTTTGGGAGAAGTTTTCGTCATAATCCGTGCTAAGCCACTCATTTTGTTGAATAGCCCCTGGTTACAGATGTGAGAGGCCGTTCAACAGTACAAGTACGACAGCCAAAGTACGTGCGCTTGATTGCCATAAGGCATTCCAAATTTCATACTGTAGTGGCCCTGCTCCATTTCGGACCTTTTCGAGGGGAGGCAATTCTGCGCCGTTCGTACATATATGGAGTACAAACAAAAGTGCGCTAGCGCTAGTGAGTTCGCGGAACGGGCGAATGATCGTAGACAAGGCCTTTTTACAACTTAGCAGTGGTGCTGGGGCCTGCCTCCGTGTGTGCGTATGGGTGGTAATAGGTACGGGGGCAATGTGTTGGGTGCATGCCATCCGCTTGATATTTTCTAGAAAGGTGTTCCTGATTTAAATTTGCTTACTGGAATCAAATGATAGACATTTGCTCTGAGGTCTTAACTTTTATGGGTTAGCGCTGAGATTGGGACTTCAGATTTCTTCCTTGCTCGACATTGGCCATCTTTGTATGTATTTATGTGTGTGTTATATGCAGGTATTGGTATGGCAATTGGTATACTAATCCAAGTGTTGTTTTTGTTTTCTAGGATGAAGAATGGACACCAGTGACCTATTCTTTGGATGCAGAACTGGTGACCTCTCAAAAGTGAAGTATGTCATCATTTCCCAGCTATTCCTCTTGCTTTACCATGTAGTTATCTTATTGCATGTTTGACAAATTATTCCATTGGAGACACATCTTAGTCTGAGAGCTTCACGTAGCAATTGCACGCCGCTTTAGCAGAATTTTTAGATACTGTCTTTGTGTTCTAGTAGTTGTATTCTAGTGTGGTCAGTCAGTTCGGGTAAATATAGCCACATAACTCAATAGATAGTCATGTTATCCATGTATTGTGTGACAGTATTCAGACTGCTTTATGCTCTCCCTATGCAAGGCCAGCACAACCTTGATAGAACCTACAATGACAAAGTTTTGGAGGATCACTGCATCTGTAGGTTAAAAGGAAATCATTCCACATGATGTAGTCAGTGCCAGACATCCCTAGTTAAAGCTGTGTATAGCCATATATATATATATATATATATATATATATATATATATATATATATATATATATATATATATATAATGTGTGTGTGTGTGTGTTTGCATGCATGGGATTAGTGACAGCAGGATCAGGGTAGTCATGCCATGCAGGAGATAGTGTCTGGATGTGGAACCCACCCCCCAGATAATACAACACTGATAATGACTGAGTGTGACCCCAACTCAGATTGTCTGCCAGGTGGATTGGCTGAGGGATCTCCTGTGTCCCATACAATACCCAGACATGTGCCATGTTTACTCCCTGGCCGGCTGCCGGGTCGTGGGTCACTGGTGCATGCAAGGCCAGAGCACAGCCAGTACTCTGATCCAATTCATTGGCCACAGAGCAGACACATTGTCTCCAATATAAGCAGCTTGATCACCCAAATGTTGAACCTGTGTTCCAACATTTGTTATTTGTGTCTGAAGTATATGATGGGCTGTCCTGTGGGTATGGTTTGGGATGAGATCCAGGAAATAAAACGTGCTGATAGTGCTCAATTTGAACTTCTTAGATGTGTCAAGAGAATGGCAAGAAGCATTTTAGTTGGATGTAGTTTGTGCATAATTTGAATACATTGTGCTCTTCTTTTGCAGGTACCTGGTGGATGTCAAGGAAGTAGATGTAAACACAAGAGATAAATGGGACAGCACACCTCTGTAAGCCTACATTTGTACTTTGAAACCTTCTTTTGCTTATTTCAAATACCATGCAGAATTATAGCATGTTCATTAATTTTCAGTGCATATGGAGCATTTTTTAACCCTGAAAATTTATGTTTGCTGTTAATGTGGCAGATGTTGATTAAAGAGACAAAGATGAGTTTATTTCAGAATTGCCTGTTATACATTATGTTAGCAAGAGGCATGCTTGCTGAAGGTATCTGTTATTTTGTGCACATTGCAAGCAGCCAAATGATGAGACATAAATGCTCCAGTGGGCAGCAAGATGTGTCATCAGTTGCAGAAGATGGTGAGCCAGCAAGAAGTTTGTGCAGAATGGCATGTTATTAAACTTCTCAAAATGTTTCTTTGAAACATTCAAAACCCAGCCTGTGCCAGCTGATAAGCTACATCACGCCCTCCTCAGTGTTGATGTCTGTTGATGTAAATCACAACTTGCATATTTTTTTAGCAAAATAAGACATGTTATATATAAGGTGTGATCAACTTGGCAGAACAGATCGATCTGTGGGAAACTCGGCTCGGAAATCGATACAATTTCCAATGCAAGTGACACATACAGCCTTCAGTGAACATGGAGCATAACATATTATGCCGAGCGGCTTCAAGCGTTGAATATGATGTGCGCATTTCGCTGTCGACGCTTGCACAAACATGGTCCCACGCACCACCGGCGATCGAAAGTTTCACAAAACAGTGAAGTGACCCGTTCCCACGCCCCGAACATCAGGACGGTGTATGAAAATCGGCACGACAAAAACGCTAATTTGGGAAAGGAAGGGTTGTTGTATGTGGCCACTCCTGCTGTGAGCTTGGTGTGAGCACCCACTCAGGTGTTTTGTCAGTGGTGGGTCCTGCCCACTCAGGTGTTTTGTCAGTGGTGGGTCCTGCCCACTCAGATGTTTTGTCAGTGGCAGGTCCTGCCCACTCAGATGTTTTGTCGGTGATGGATCCTGCCCACTCAGGTGTTTTGTCAGTGGCTGGCCCTGCCCCCTCAGATGTTTTGTCCGTGGCGGATCCTGCCCACTCAGGTGTTTTGTCCGTGGCGGATCCTGCCCACTCAGGTGTTTCGTCAGTGGCGGATCCTGCCCACTCAGGTGTTTTGTCAGTGCCAGATCTGCAACCAGCTTTGCGCCCCGGTTGGATAACTGCCCGTAATCGTTGGCAGTGAAGTTTAAAGATGGCAGAGTGAACGGGCGAACATCTTCCTTCGACGCAGGGTAGCACGTCTCCATACGCTTCACGGCCTGGGCCCTGATCTCTGCTATCTTGTCACTCATCACTACCAAAAGCACTGCCTAGGGATGGGAGCATTCTGCATTCCTTTCCATGACGGGCTGCGGGATATCTCGCACGCGGTGTGGGAGAGACCCAAGGAGCTTCAGGCAATTCCTCATATTCTTTGAACCACTGGTTCATCTGTCGTTTTCCTGCATGTGGAATCACATTGTGCATGTTGCTCACCACATACTTCGCCATGTCCTGAAGCTGGGTTCTTGGATTTTGTATCGGCGCGTATGTTCTTAGTGAGCCTGCACCGAGCTTGAGCCACCCGCGAGGTGCATACCATGCTGTCGTATGCGTGCGAACGAATTCAGACATTTATGCATCGACCAGAGGTACGGGGTTTAATTTCCCGCGGTGCGCGCCCTTCCTGCCGGGGTGAGAGATAGGCGACGCCATATAAGTCAGCAGCTGAGTGCATCGTAAATCCCCAGTGACGGACAAACATTGTTTATAGACAAAGGCTTTGGTGCTGGCAAAGGAGTGACTGAGCAGAGGTAATTTATGTCGACTCGTCCATCGTGCAAACATGGATCGAATTAAAGTCAGTAGAGCGACGCCACTTCCGGACCCCCATGATCAATCACATCAGAACGCAGACTCAACGACAGCACGACGTTGAACCCGCGTTAAAATGCTGAAGCTGGCATTTGCTTTATCTGAAGATGGCTAAAATGCAACTAAAATATCGACCCAGAATGCATTAGAAAGGGCGGCGTGTTAGCCGTGAGCGGAGACCACCTCACCCTGCGTGGTTTAGCGGCCGATTTCGCGCTGAACGGTGGCAGCCAGGTCACAGGGGACCCGCTGGTCGCACCTGAGGTCAGCAGCTGCAGCTGCCGTCATTGCAGCGACGTGGCCACTGGTGGGACTGAGCTGGATCACGTGCAGGTCACGCACTGCGCAACGTCGCCGCTGGCGGGGCCGAGCTGGATCACAGGCAGCTCATGCACTGCTCCTGCAGCCTCTTCGCCATGCGGTCCTGTGAGCGACTTAAGTCCAGTTGTCACACTATCGAGCTCTTTGAACGGCTGCCGCGGTTAGAACTTGATTGCGTGCAGCTGGCGAAGCAAACAGTAGGCGGGTGTATTGTCGACCAATGCAAACAACCGTCAGATGACACCAGGGCGTCAAGCGTTTACCGCCGTGTCGTCACACCCAGGATCGGTCACGTCGTCGTCGTACTCTCAGGGTATTGCCTGCAGTTAACTGAACCTGTCCAGGACCTGACTAGACTGAGATATGCGCCATCCATCGTATTCCCCACCGGGCTCGGCTATCACAACCACGTGCAGTTCTTGGCACACATCTCCAGCGCTGACATCGGTGAGACCCTTCCGTGCGTCAGAGTCCGATCCAGCCAGGCTCAGGCCGCGCAGACGGCTGAATCTGGCCTACGGTTTTTCCCAATAAGGTCTGGTGTCGGGTTCGCTGCATCTGTTCCGGTATCCACGTCTGCAATTGTTTCAGCTGTGCTGATGCAGCCTATCTTCGTTTGAAACGATTGTCCTTAACCCCCAAGTGCAAAGCGCCGCCGGTGTCGGCTCGGGGTGATGCCATGGTGTTCCGGGTCGCGGGATCGAACGCACAGAAAATGTTATGCCTGCAACGGAGGAGGGAGGGGCCATGCTCACCAGCAAACAAACTCTAGCCCTTCCCCCGTTTACTGCGCCATACGTCTGCTCACACAGAGTGGAAATGGGATGGAGCAGTACTCGCCAGTTCGTAAACGTGGTGTAAATAGTGAAGGTGCGTCTTGATGTTAATGTTTACAAATTGAGGGGTTTCGAAACGTGTAGACCGTGAGTTTGTTACACAACAATCATGCCTGGTGTGTTGCTGCGCTGTGCGAGTGTGTTTAGTCGGGTTTGTCGTCTGTATTGTTTAGGGGATCCGGGCACCCAATTATGCCAAGCATGTAGAAGTACGAATTTGGCGATGGATAAAAAGAAGCAGCTTATAGACCCTCTGAGCCCCAAAAATGTTACAAAACAACACCCGCGCGTTATGTTTTCGATGGTCAACTTAGATTATTATTGTGTACTACGGAGCAGGAGAAGTTCATGTTTTACAGGTATTTTTACCGATTTCATCTTGTAGTTAACCGGAATGCCCAACAACTACCCTAATCACCAGCTGTCACCCGGATTGTCTTCTTGCCGCTAGGTGGCAGCAACATCGTTAAGGTGTAACAAATAGGGCCAGCTTTCATCAGCTAGCGCAGGCTGCGTTCGTTATCGATTTCGCAAAGTGATTCACTGCTTTTTTGTCGCTGTGCACCAAGTTATCGTCGGCTTACCGTGTTCGAAGAAAAAGTATCCGAGGACACGTTGGTGGGCGTTGTCGACGAGTGCCATGATATTTGTGGCACAAGTCAACAGACATGTGCGCTGACCCTGATTCGGATCCCAAGATCCGGGATCTGGACTCTGCCACACATGAGCTACATGGCATCCATGATCCATCCCGGCGAGCCAGCCACACTGCTCTGATCGCCTCAGCTCTGACCGGGTCGGTCGAGACCGTGGCCAACCGCGCCTGCCTCCGTGGCCGCTGTCCGACGCCCTCCCGCCTGCGCGCAGCTACTACGCCTGCCTGTGCGGCCACATTGACCTGGCGGAGTACCTGCTGGAGGCGGGCGCGCGCTGCGAGGCCAACACGTTCGACGGCGAGCGGTGCCTGTACGGCGCGCTGACGGACGACATCCGGCGCCTGCTGCTGCGCCGCCATGCCGTCACACGGCAGACCATCCGGCGGGACATGTACCAGGAGTTCCTGCGTAGGTGAGATGTGTACCAGGAGTTCCTGCGCAGGTGAGAAGTTTATCAGGAGTTCCTGCGCAGGTAAGACGTGCGTACCAGGAGTTCTTGCGCGGGTAAGACGTGTACCAGGAGTTCCTGCGCAGGTGAGACGTGTACCAGGAGTTTCTGTGTAGGCGAGACGTATACTAGGAGTTCCTGCGCAGGTGAGACGTGTACCAGGAGTTCTTGCGCGGGTGAGACGTGTACCAGGAGTTCCTGCGCAGGTAAGACGTGCGTACCAGGAGTTCTTGCGCGGGTGAGACGTGTACCAGGAATTCCTGTGCAGGTGAGGCGTGTGCCAGGAGTTTCTGCGCAGGTGGGACGTGTGCCAGGAGTTCCTGCGCAGGTAAGACGTGCGTACCAGGAGTTCTTGCGCGGGTGAGACGTGTACCAGGAGTTCCTGTGCAGGTGAGGCGTGTGCCAGGAGTTTTTGCGCAGGTGGGACGTGTGCTAGGAGTTTTTGCGTAGGTGGGACGTGTACCAGGGGTTCTTGTGCAGGTGAGACGTGTACCAGGAGTTCTTGCGCGGGTGAGACGTGTACCAGGAGCTCCTGCGCAGATCGGCGGCCGCTCACTGGCTGAGACACTGCCTACAGGCGGATCGATGTCGGCGGTTGACGTGTGGACCTGGCGCCGTAGTTTGCTGTGCAGGCGGAGTGTCGTTGTCAGGTGCATGCTACGTGGTCATTACACAGTGTATGGTCGCCCATGTGGTATGATGAATAGCTGTAGAGCTTGCTTGCTTGTAAAAACGTCTGACTTTTCTTGCAGAAGGTTGTGGAGGATAATGGTAGTTTGTAGACGAAGTTTTTAGAGCATCCTCCCACCCCGGCTCGGTTTCCGACCGCGCGTCAGGAGGCCCTCCGTGCTCCGACTCAGCTCCCGCGCCGTTTCAGGATCCTGGAGACGCACCAGTTCAGCGACATCACGTTCGCGGTGCACGGCGAGGCGTTCCCGGCGCACCGGTGCGTGCTGGCGGCGCGCTCCGAGTACTTCTGCGACATGCTGGAGTCCAAGTGGCGCGACCGGGCCACCGTGACGCTCAACAACGACCTGGTCAGCGGGCGACGGTCGGCCGCGGCCGCCGGAGGACGAGACGACGGGAAGCGCCGAGGGGACGCCTTGTGTTGCGTCCCTCACGTGGACATCGGATAATTCTTTTTAAAATTTAAGATGAGTGTTGGGTCATTGGCAGGGTGTTTTTTATTGAGTGCGTTCATAGTCGAATGCAAAAAGGTTGTAATGCAATAACCTTTCAGACCTATGCTGATATATACATGTTTTGCATATGACATTCGATAGGTGCGATCCTTTGCCGAAGTATACAGCCAAGCGCTACAGGATTCGACTGGTTTTGACTAAGCCATCTGTAGCTGTCAGCTCACTACGCTCCGATTACATTAGGTGGGCCGGTTTTAGAAGGACGTCATTGAGTCTAATGCCTACTCATCACCGTTCGTCGGCCAGGGCATGGACAAAACCGAACACGCGCTCGGCCCTTTTGACACGTAGCACGTAGTTTTCCCTCAGCGCGCAGTCATAGTCTCTGTTCTTGTGTTTGGAGCCGTGTGACCTTTGGCACCTTGGCTGCGGCACAACTACAAACGCTGCTCGTAATTTTCCGTGCCGATGCACCCTGTGACCAGGGGCGGCCAACGGCCCTGCCCGACTGACGCAGCACCTGTACGCGGCGCGATTACGGTCGTCCGACCTTACCCTCGTGTGCAGGTGCGGCCGGCGGCGTTCGCCAGTCCTGCTGCAGTACCTGTACACGGCGCGGCTGGAGACGGCCGTCCAGGATGTGGACGACTGCCTGCTGCTGGCCGCCCAGTGTCGGCTGCCCACGCTGCGGCACCAGCTGCAGCAGCAGCTGGCCAAAGTCGACGAGTTCGGTACGGGCCGAGTCTGACCGTCGCCTCTGGCGCCGTCCCCTCCGCGTGTCCGTAATATGACGTCACTTTTCTTTCCATCTTTGCTGTGTCGTTCCATTGACGTGATGTGTGTGACGCGTTTGCCTCCGCGAGGTGCCGCTGGTCGAGTGGGCTGTGTCGGCAGTCGTCCTTGCCGCCCTCGGCGTTTGCCATCGGTGTGCGGCATCCTCCCCCCCCCCCCCCCCCCCCCCCACCCCCCTCCTGCGTGAAGCCGGTCCGCGTCGCGCTGTCCGCGCGGCGCTGCGTGTGTCACGGACACGCGCGATGTCAGCCGGTGACGCCGCCTCTGGGCTATCAGTGAGCGGCAAGCCCGGCACACGAGTGACCCAGCTGGTGCTGGAGCCGGAGGACGGACTGGCCGAGCTGGCGCAGGACCTAGGCGTCATGGCCGAGCAGGCGGTGCCGCCGGCCCTCTGCAGCTGGGCCGTCGGCACCGAGCTGCCCCTCATGCCCAAGGTGCCGCCGCGCTATGCCGACGTTGTGTTCCTCGTCGAGGAGCACCGGTTTCCGGCCCACAAGGTGAGCTGGTGGCGGCTGCTGACTTTGGACGGTGTGCGCGGGCTGATCACGATGTGTATGAATCGTTTGAGTTAGCCTTTTCCGGGCTGTAATCCTTCTGGTCCCAAAAGCTGAAGGTGATTAGGATGTTGAAGCACAAAACAGAAGATGATAAATATGCATTGCCGTAGGTTTCTTGAAGGACGTCCCTGAAGTCGTGTCTACTGACAATGTTCACATCACATTCGCCAGAGTCTCCTGCGAGCGGGGACCACGAGACCATAATTTCTTGCCGTACTTTGTTAAATTTTCTAAAGCCTAAAGGGCGTTTCGGCTGGCCGTTAAACACCTGTGTGTTCACGTGTGTTCGGAGGCATTTAGTGCTGACCGCCGGCGGCGGTACGCCAGGCTTTCTTCTGCGGTCGGAGTGAGTACTTCCGCGCGCTCCTGCGGGACCCGTTCAGCGAGTCGGGCCGGGACTGCGGCGCGCCGCTCATCACGCTGCGTGGCATGGCGGCGCCCGTGTTCGTCAGCATGGTGCACTACGTCTACCAGAACACGGCCACGGTACGGCGCTGTCGTGGTGTCAAAACGCAGACTCGGTGTACCGTCCTGTCGCGGAATCAGAACACGGTCGCGTGTGACAATGACACCAGAATGCGGTCGCGACAGTCCGGGTACGGTGTAGGCGCGGTACGCTCACCGAAAGAGACTCGCTGATTCTAAGCTGGGGTCTGAGCCGGGGCCTAATGATGTGCCTACCGATGCATAAAGCCAGTGACAGCAGCGGCAGCACTGAAGGCGATGTTGATGGTTTGACGGGCCCCCCTCGTCGGCAGCTGACAGAGTCCTCGGTGCTGGACGTGCTGTACGCGGCCGACATGTGTCTGCTGCCTGGCCTGAAGCGGCTCTGCGGCAACTACCTGATGGGCCTGCTGGACCAGGAGAACGTGCTGCCCGTGCTGAAGACGGCGCGCCTGTTCCAGCTGCCCAAGCTGGAGGACGCGTGCACACAGTACATAGCAGAGAACTTGGACCAGGTGGGCGCACGGCCGCGCCAGGTACTGTGTCGGCCTTCACTTGTCCAATGCGGGATTCGCGGAACTTCAGTATCGGCGTTGTGGATGACAACTATGGACTTGCAATGTTGGTGATGATTGTCACGCCACGGTACTGAAAGTGGTCCGTCGTGTATGGCTGCTGCGGCCTTACATAACGTTATAGATTTGCTCTCTACTTACTTGCGTCCATTACGGGCTGTGGGATAAGTAACAATCGTATTTCCAGCCATGCTGATCCGGCGCATGGCTTACCGGCTCCTGGCACCCCCGCGCAATCCTGACCTCATCTCGGCCTGCCCACTGCCCGGACTCTACCACAACCAGTCGACTGCCCCGACCCGGACATGCCTTGCCCCATCGCCCTGACCCGGCCTGCCCCTTCCCTAGATCCTGCTCCCCCTGACGGACCCGCTGCGGCCGGCCAACGCCTCCTCCTCCTCCACCATCCTGACCCGCTCCGAGCTGGTCATCAGCTCCAAGTTGCGCCGGCTGGTCGGCGGCAGCGCCGACGAGCGGCCGCGCTCCGTCGAGGAGGTGGTTGTGCGCGTGGAGACGACGCCGCCCAGCGCGCGCCGGTCGCCGCCCGCCGCGCCCGCGGCCGCCACCGCCGGGCGAGTCTCGTCCGTTAACCGGCTGTGCGAGCTGCCGGCAGGCGGCGGCGCCCGAGGCGGCGGCCGGCCGGTACAGAGCGCCACCCTGCCGCGCGCTGCGCCCACGCCCTGCTTCTACATGCACGCGCTGCCTCCGCCGGTGCCGGCCGCCGCGGTGCCGGACACGGGCGGCAGCGTGTGCAGCGCGCGGCCGCGCGGCGCCGGGTCTGGCTGCACTGTCTCCGAGGTGGAGACCAGCGGCGGGCTGGTGTGCGGCATGCCGGAAGCGGAGGTGCGCAGCATGGGCGTGGCCATCTGCGTGCTCATGATCATGCTGTCGGGCCTGGCCATCGTATACGGCTTCTTCATGGGCTACTGAGCCGATGGCGGCCTCCGGAGACGGCCCGACGCCGTGGCCCGTCGTGCGGTTGTCCAACGTGGCACACCGAAGCATGGACCTCGAACCGTCCCGCCGACCGTCCTTGTTCCGACCAGACCGTGGCCGTGTCCAGGCCGCGTTGAGGGCCTTGCTCCTGCACCGGACGCCATCCTCACCCTGTGGGATGCCGACGAGAAGCGAACGACTCCGTGCGGAGAGCTCCGATGGGGGCCGATCGACCGTTCCCTGCGGTCTCCTGCCAGCGGGCGTCCCAGGCCATGGAGTCGGCGGCCATCACGAGCCGCGACGCGTCCTCACGCCGCATTAGGCGCGGAAGTGGCCCGCGTCCTCCTGCGGATGTTATTCCCACGTAAACCGGTCCGCGACGCCGCGCGGTGTGCGGGGTTATCCCATACCGCGTCGAAGACACCGTCACCGTGCGGTGAGCCATGCTCAACGCCGCCCGGCGCCTGTACCACCTCATCTCCTGCACCAGCCACCAACCCCTGCTCCGGACGTGGCAGCGGTGTTGCTGGCCGGCGTTGGCCGAGCGAGCGCGACTGCTGAGCGTCCCGCTCGTGTCCGCAGATGGTCGAGAGCGAAGACTTCCAGGCGCTGGTGTCTGAGGACGCGCGCGCCGTGCTGGCGCGCCAGCTGACCGACTCGATCGGCGTGGTGGACGACGTACGCTACCACATCACCAGCGCCGTGCAGACCTTCTCCGACATGACCGAGGCGAGCGAGAAGCTGCGACTCATAGACGACCTGCTCGATCGGCTCGGCCTCAACGCCTGAGGCGGCGGTGCGCGCGCTCCTGCCGGGGCCGTGCGAGCTCCGCGTCGGTGTCCTGCTGACCGCAGCCGGCGCCGACACTCCGGTACAAACGGCGGCGAGCGTGGGGCGTGACCGGGACACGGCGACTGCCAAAGGCGATGCAAGCAGGGCCAGTCGCAGGGTTCGTTGTTGCGGTGAAGGCTCAGAGTGCTAGCTCGCTTGCTTGTTATGTTTTATTGCTTGATGCATGGGCGGCTGATAAGCCCGGGGTATTTATTTTCTCGTTCATGAAATCAGTCGTAAGTTGGTAGTGTTATTTGTTGACCAATTGTCCTGTTCTGGGACGTGCATGCATCAATATGGATAAATTACTTAACATCCACGCATGTCGGATTATTTTGTTTTTGTTTTAGTCTCGATGTGAGAGTGTGCACGGCATTTATGAGGCCTGCGCCTCCGATGTCAGAGCTCCTGCGAGTGTAAGGTGCGACTGTCGCGCGCGTTTGACTTATCTGGTATGGCTGTATCGTTACTGCCCGTTTGATGTAGGGAGACAGGATGCAGGGGTCGGTGCAGTGGTACTGGAGCGATACGACCAACCGACATAGACTCAGTGTGTCAGCCTCTATCGTGGCGGTGTTACCGTGTCTTGGCAGTGTCCCAATACATCGGACTTTTACCTCGGCGGTGGTTTCTCAGTTATTGATGCGGGGCGTTCGTGCCGCCGTGTGGGCTCTTCTGTCGCGCGCGGCTGGGGCCGTGGCGGCCAGTTGGTGGCCGGCTGGGTCGTCCCTGTGCGCCACGCACGCCATCTGACCCTCCGCTGGGCGCACGCAACTCTAGTGGGTGTGGCGCGGGACGGTTTCCCGGCATCAGATTTGGTCGGCATAAGCATCATCCGTCGAGAATGGTAGCTATCAAGAAATGCAGCGTCGATTTGGCTTAGTTGTGTCACTAATCGACGGTTCTTGGGAGCGTAACCGCCTTTGGGTGGCAGGATGTCGAACTTACTTATTATTTATTTCATAGATATCCCATGCGAATTACGGTGCGTTCTAACAGTACTCGTTCTGCAATGCAGCTTATCACGTGGCTGGTGACTGATTGTAACTAGAACGCGCACTCTCTGATTCAGCATGTGTACTGCGAAGCCTTTTGATGAATTGGCTAGATTACTGCACAAGCCAAAGTACTCATTGCTTTCGGAAAGTCGTGGAATCGATGACATCAACTACTTGTTGCGCGTTTTCTTTCAGATAACGTATCAGGCACAGTCCTATATTCTGGGGAAGCTGGGGACTTGGTCCAAGCGTGTCCCCGTCTGTCGTGTAGCCAATATATATATATATATATATATATATATATATATATATATATATATATATATATCCCAATTCGAGCGGCCCAAAAAATCTGATATATCTGGAGGTGGATTGCCAAGGCCAGCAACGCACACGGGTGCACGGGCCTTGGCAAATACGAAGCACTCGCAAGCGAGATGGAGTTTGTCCAGGGCTGGGAGGGGAGTTGGCTCAGAGGCACTTTGAGTTATTTATTTCCACGCACCGTCAATAACCTGGTGCCAAGTCTTCCCATACTTTGGGAAGGGATACAAAAGGGGCACTCAAAATTGAGAGCCATACTCCCTACCCACCCCAACGTAATAGGAAAGACACCCTTTTGCAGGGGTGTAGTTTCCTATTCAGTTGGGGGGGGGGGAGGGGGGGGGCTGAAGTCTTCCCCCAACTTC